GTCGTCAACATACCTGCAGTATATGGCAGGCTTCAAGTTCATGTCGACTAAGACCTTCTGTTCGATGGTACCCATGTAGAAGTTCGCAAACAGGACACCTAGGGGAGAACCCATGGCGACCCCATCTACTTGCTTATACATGTGCCCATCAGGGCACATGTATAAGCAAGTAGATGGGGCACATGTATAAGCAAGTTGATGGGCACATGTAAATCAACTATGTATGTACTTTTCCTTTATAAAAATGTATTTATTATTATTATTTATAATACATTTTAATGTTTGCTATAATGTGTGGTTATATTGGAAGCCTAGACGTGTGTTAGGGACATAGTGAATGTTATTAAGCTTATCGGGGCCTCCTTAGTCCAGGGCGAGGACCTCCTTAGTCCAGGGCGAGGACCTCCTTAGTCCAGGGCGAGGGTCTCTTTAGTCCAGGGCGAGGGTCTCTTTAGTCCAGGGCGAGGGTCTCTTTAGTCCAGGGCGAGGGTCTCCTTAGTCCAGGGCGAGGACCTCCTTAGTCCAGGGCGAGGGCCTCCTTACTCCAGGGCGAGGGCTTCCTTAGTCCAGGGCGAGGGTCTCCTTAGTCCAGGGCGAGGGCTTCCTTAGTCCAGGGCGAGGGTCTCCTTAGTCCAGGGCGAGGGCCTCCTTAGTCCAGGGCGAGGGTCTCCTTAGTCCAGGGCGAGGGTCTCCTTAGTCCAGGGCGAGGACCTCCTTAGTCCAGGGCGAGGGCCTCCTTAGTCCAGGGCGAGGGTCTCCTTAGTCCAGGGCGAGGGTCTCCTTAGTCCAGGGCGAGGACCTCCTTAGTCCAGGGCGAGGACCTCCTTAGTCCAGGGCGAGGGTCTCCTTAGTCCAGGGCGAGGGCTTCCTTAGTCCAGGGCGAGGGTCTCCTTAGTCCAGGGCGAGGACCTCCTTAGTCCAGGGCGAGGGTCTCCTTAGTCCAGGGCGAGGGTCTCCTTAGTCCAGGGCGAGGGTCTCCTTAGTCCAGGGCGAGGGCTTCCTTAGTCCAGGGCGAGGACCTCCTTAGTCCAGGGCGAGGGCCTCCTTAGTCCAGGGCGAGGGTCTCCTTAGTCCAGGGCGAGGGACTCCTTAGTCCAGGGCGAGGGTCTCCTTAGTCCAGGGTCTCCTTAGTCCAGGGCGAGGGTCTCCTTAGTCCAGGGCGAGGGTCTCCTTAGTCCAGGGCGAGGGCCTCCTTAGTCCAGGGCGAGGGCCTCCTTAGTCCAGGGCGAGGACCTCCTTAGTCCAGGGCGAGGACCTCCTTAGTCCAGGGCGAGGGCCTCCTTAGTCCAGGGCGAGGACCTCCTTAGTCCAGGGCGAGGGTCTCCTTAGTCCAGGGCGAGGGCTTCCTTAGTCCAGGGCGAGGGCTTCCTTAGTCCAGGGCGAGGGCTTCCTTAGTCCAGGGCGAGGGCCTCCTTAGTCCAGGGCGAGGGTTTCCTTAGTCCAGGGCGAGGGCTTCCTTAGTCCAGGGCGAGGGCTTCCTTAGTCCAGGGCGAGGGTCTCCTTAGTCCAGGGCGAGGGCTTCCTTAGTCCAGGGCGAGGGCCTCCTTAGTCCAGGGCGAGGGCCTCCTTAGTCCAGGGCGAGGGCCTCCTTAGTCCAGGGCGAGGACCTCCTTAGTCCAGGGCGAGGGTCTCCTTAGTCCAGGGCGAGGGTCTCCTTAGTCCAGGGCGAGGGCCTCCTTAGTCCAGGGCGAGGACCTCCTTAGTCCAGGGCGAGGACCTCCTTAGTCCAGGGCGAGGACCTCCTTAGTCCAGGGCGAGGGTCTCCTTAGTCCAGGGCGAGGGTCTCCTTAGTCCAGGGCGAGGGCCTCCTTAGTCCAGGGCGAGGACCTCCTTTGTCCAGGGCGAGGGTCTCCTTAGTCCAGGGCGAGGGCTTCCTTAGTCCAGGGCGAGGACCTCCTTAGTCCAGGGCGAGGGTCTCCTTAGTCCAGGGCGAGGACCTCCTTAGTCTAGGGCGAGGGCCTCCTTAGTCCAGGGCGAGGGTCTCCTTAGTCCAGGGCGAGGGCCTCCTTAGTCCAGGGCGAGGGTCTCCTTAGTCCAGGGCGAGGGCCTCCTTAGTCCAGGGCGAGGGTCTCCTTAGTCCAGGGCGAGGGCCTCCTTAGTCCAGGGCGAGGGTCTCCTTAGTCCAGGGCGAGGGCCTCCTTAGTCCAGGGCGAGGGTCTCCTTAGTCCAGGGCGAGGGTCTCCTTAGTCCAGGGCGAGGGCCTCCTTAGTCCAGGGCGAGGGTCTCCTTAGTCCAGGGCGAGGACCTCCTTAGTCCAGGGCGAGGGCCTCCTTAGTCCAGGGCGAGGGCTTCCTCGCCATGATCGAAATCGAAATCCATGAAAATTCAATTTATCAATGCAACTGAAAACATTGAAATGGAATTGTAACAAATTCAGTATTGCGTGTGTAGCTCTTACATGCAACACATGTAGCATGTGCTACACATGATGGTGGGGTTTTAAAAATAAACATGTTTTTACCTGTCACAGATATTGCATCTAATTAAAAGGAATTTAAAAACACGCGCGTATGCGAATGAAATGGTGTGTAAATATTTTAAAGTAATTGGTGAAGAACTTTTGGAGATTACAGCGTGTGTTGCTCTTACGTCCAACAGGTGGCGCTGTTTTAAAAAAAAACATGTTTTTTCCTGTCACAGGTGAGGCATGTATATAGTAGGTATAAAAAAAACACGCGCCTATTCGAATGCAACGTTGTGTCAAAATTTCAAAGCAATTGGTAAAGAGGATTCGAAGATTTCCTTCATATGAAAAACACTTGAATAAAGCATGTTTTTTCCCTTCACAGACGTGACATATATTTATTATGTTTATAAAAACCCGCTCGGATGTGAAGGGGACATTGTGTGAAAATTTTAAAGCAATCAGTGAAGAACTTTCGGAGATTAGCGATTTGGAACAAACGATCATTTCCAATTTTATTTATGTAGATTAATTTGATTTGAGGATTTATTGCCAAACAAAATATAGAAAGTTTTGTCAATGTTAAGGGTGAGTTTGTTGGCAGTTAGCCAAAGATGGACTTTATTTAGTTCAGTATTCACTGTGACATTTAGAGCAAGGGGGTCAGGACTGGAGTAAATGAAGGTTGTGTCGTCAGCAAATAGAATTGGTTTGAGGCGTTGAGAGGCATTTGGAAGGTTATTAATGTAGATGAGAAAGAGGAGAGGGCCAAGTATGCTGCCATGAGGAACACCGATGGTGATGGGTAGGGTGGGAGAAATTAAATTATTCACAGAAACATACTGGAGCCTGTCAGTAAGGTAAGACTGAAGATATTGGAGGGAGTGTCCTCTGACTCCATAATGATGTAATTTAAGAAGAAGGTTTTGGTGATTGACAGTGTCAAAAGCCTTACGTAGGTCAACAAATAACCCAACAGGGGAACTCATTTTTATCAAAAGCTGCATGTATCAAGTTAATCATACTAATAAGTGCATCGTTAGTGCTATTTTGGGGTCTGAAGCGGTATTGGCAAGAGCTAAGTATATTGTGTTTGGGTAGATAAGAGTAAAGCTGCTTGTAGATTAGTTTTTCAAATATTTTTGACAAGTTTGGCAGAACTGATATAGCTCTGAAGTTGTTGACATCAGTGAGATCACCACATTTGTGGACAGGGGTTACTCTCGCTTTATTTTTTAGAATATCTGGAAAGGTTTGGAGTTCAAGTGACTTGTTGTAGAGCAATGCAATGGCAGGGGCTAAAAGTCTGGAGGCTTTCTTGTAAATAAGAGTTGGTATATCCGCAAGAGCACTATACTTAGTTTTAAGGGAAAGGATTATCTCATTAACATCAGTGTAATTAGCAGGCGTTAGGTAAAGAGACTGGGTAGTTACCTGTAAGGGTTTCCTGAACATTAGTTGGGGTGGATGGAATATCATTAGCAAGGGATGACCCAATGGATGAGAAGAATCTATTGACTTCAATAGCAGTATCAGAGGCTGAAAGCAAACCCTCATTATTGGACAGGAGTATTGGTTTTTTATTTAAAAAAAAATTTGATCCCAATATATGTGAAATAGTGCTCAATGTTTTCTTAATGTTGTCCTTTATTTGGGTAAATTTAATTTTGCAGTATTTACTTTTGGCTCTCCTAATTATTTTAGATAACACTGATGAGTAATTCTTTGAAAATTCTTTGGAGACGATTCCTAACCTATACTTTTTCTCAAGGTCATGTTTTTTATTAAAGATTTAAGTATCCTCTTTGTTAGCCATGGATTGTTTAGCCTTTTAGTTGTGACTTGTTTTGTTAGCGTAGGACAGTGGGTGTTATAAAGGCTGAGAGTTTTTTGAAGAAATGATTGCGCTGCTAGGTTGATGTTCCCATGTTACCTAATTCAGACTCCCAGTTGATATTAGCAGCAACAGCTATAAAATTGCCCATAGAAGTTTCATTGTGCAGCCTAAAGCTTATCTTCCTTGTATCTAGTGGTTTGGTAATGTTGGTTAGGAAAAATGTGGGGTAATGGTCTGTGGTTCTATCAGTGATTATCCCTGAAGTAACCGGAGAGGTTATGTTAGTCCAGATGTGGTCAAGAGCCGTGGCAGTACTATCAGTGATTCTAGTAGGTCTAGTGATTAAGGGTATGAGGAAGCAGGAATTCATAAAGTTAAGGAAACTAGCAGTAGGAGGGTTATCAGGCTCGCAGAGGTCAATGTTAAAGTTCCCAGAAATAATTAAGTGGTTTTTGTTCAGTCTGTTCTCTAGTATTAGATTTCTAAGGTTAGAGTTGAATACAGTCACATCAGTGTTAGGAATTCTGTAGACTGCTCCCACAGTCAGGACAGCCTCGCCACCCTTGACTCTGAAACAGGCAAAGATATACTCTCCACAGGGGTCTCTAGTTTTAATTACTTTTAAGCAAGTCAGTTCTTGATGGTAGTAAAGAGCAGTACCACCACCTCTTTGAATAGGACGACAGTTGTGAATTGCTGAGTAGTTTGCTTTTATTAGAGTTATGGCCTTGGCAGTTGTGATTCACAAGAAGATATTACCCACAAACGGTGACTTGGTGGAGGTGGGCGAGGCTGTGGAGGGCCGGGCTGGGGTCTGGACGTCCAGGACGTCTGTAACGTGTAGAGTAGATGGTCGCACAACCCACTCCGAGACGCGGCCGTCATCCGCCACGGAATAGAAGCTGAGGTTCTGGCCCGGTTCTGTTAGCACCCACCTCACCTGTCGCCGGGGAGGCTATGTTAGTCCACTTGCACTTTTATAGATTTTTATTATAAGATATTTTCATCAAGTGATCATAATGATGAACCACTGGATTTGTGTAGAGAGCAGGACGTTGAATGATAATTTGGGCGTGTTCAGAATGCAAGCGGATGTTCAAAATGAGTAACAGTAAATGAGGAATGATTCTTCAATGAACTTAATGGTAATGGATATAACAATACGTTTTGCTGGGCAAACAAGTCTTAGAAGGAAACTGCGTAGTTTTCACAAGTAGGAAATATAAGATGCAATTAAGCAGGAGTCTTTGCGGTACACTGTGAACTTTAAAACTTTTATTGACTATCTGAAAATTTTGAGCAATGTGTCATTATTTTTAGTTTACATCTCTGCCAAACATGGCTTCTCTCTCACTGTTTTACTGAGAGTCAGATAATAGTGTTGTCATAATAACCTTGACTGGGATAGTACTTACAGTCAGAATGACTCAGTCTCCAGTGCAGTAGTAAGTCATGTTAGTACATAAGAAAACAAGAAACGTGTGTCACAGCCGTGGCCCGCGCTGGTAAAGGTACCTGCGGTGGTGTTGACGGCGGCAGTGGTGGTGGTGGTGGCAGCAGCGGCGGCAGAGATGAGAGCGACAACGGAGGCGGTGGCAGCGACGTCGTCAATTAACTCAGTGATGACAGCAGTGTTAGTGACACAGAAACATTAACCGGAAAAGGAAGTCGATCTGCATCAGCATACATTAAAATGATTCATAACCTTAACGAACGCGCTCAAGCCAAGTACGAGAATGAAAATGATAATATTCTGAATGACAGTAATTATGCCATGCAACTTACAGAGAACATTCATTCGCGGACCATCCCGAGTTGCTCAGTGATCAAGAAACTGATGATGTCACAAGATGTTCCTGACGACGCCAAACGCCAGGTTGGTGCGGCTCTTTACGTCGTAGAGTTACTTATGGACACATTGAGGAAGTGGGACAAGGACAACAATGGGACCACCAGTTCCAGGGAGGAACAACACCAAGACGATGGCCGCTGTTGACACAAGGACCATTAGGTTTCTCAGTTGGAACATTCGTAGCATCAACAAAAGACTGAATGACCTAATTGCATATGTTACCAGTAACAACATAGATATAATTGCTTTACAGGAGCCCTACACGTCCAACATGATAAACAAAACCCCACCAAAGATCAGAGGGTATGCATCCTATAATAACAGTAATGCCACAGGCCTATTAACATACATCAGAAGTGATTTACCGCACATTCTTGTGAGCACGTCACACAATGTACACACACAGTACCATCACTTTCATGTACAAACTACAGCAGGCCACTTCTCATTCCTCAACGTATATGCCAGAAGCCAGAAACTCAATGTAGCATTGTTCCCAGATCTAGACAATCATGGGACAATATACATGGGAGATTTTAATGCTAGACATTACGCTGGGAGACAGTACTAACAACGATAATGGATGCAAATTTATCAAATATGTTTATGACAACAGATTAACCGTGTATACTACGGATACCCAAACTCATTTATTGGGAGGCAGACTTGATTATGTAATGGGCAGAAACCTTGTGCAGGATAATATGGAATGTTCTTTGGTAATTCACTTAGTTAGTAATCACTATGTAGTTTCTGCTTCCTATGAGGTACAGTGTGATGTACCTAATAGACATCAGAGACGGAAAATGAATATTCCATATGGTTTACATAACCACTTTATTATTTGTATGTCAAACTGGTATCAAGATTACACAATAACGAATGTACAAGCCTTCTCCAGAGATTTCGTTGATACAATTACTACCTACTATAACACATGGGTGTGTTGGGGAACAGGCCGTAAGCCTAGCAGAAGTGGACAACACCTACCACCACCCAAGTGGGTCCTCGACCCCGTATTTGTTAAAGAACATGAACGAGTAAAGCAACTTGGAGATACGTACAAACGAACCAAAGCACAAGGTGACGCATGCATTTCTAGTTGCAAATAGAGAGGTAAGAGACATGAGCAACGTTATACGTAATAAACATTGGGAAGAGTTCCTACAAAGTATAAATGAGCAAACAAATATGTTTGCTCATTTATATGCATGGGCACTAACATCGAGCTACGACTCACTCCCAATTAACATGCAGCACAAACTTAATGACACACGCCCCAACAGACAACGAACCATCAATCTTGCCTGTACAGATATCGACGTGTCGGACCTTAATAATGTAACTGAATGGGAATTAAATCATGCACTAAAGATGGGAAAATCAACTGCTCCTGGAGAGGACGGTATTCCTTACAGTCTACTGAGATTAGTCTCACACGAACCAGGTAATCCACTTTTAGTCTTGTACAGAATGAGTTTAAGTGAAGGAGTATTACCTGATGCTTGGACAAAGAGTGTCATTGTTCCCATCCCCAAACCACACTCAGATAATTATAGACCCATATCTCTAACATCGTGTGTTTGCAAAGTACTTGAACGTATTGTTCTTAACCGACTCATGTATCGTATACAGGGGCACCTGTCACCTCAACTGTTTGGATTTATGCCTGGGCTCAGTACACAACACTGTTTTGCTGAGTACTTCGCACATATTGAAGCTTCCCCTCAAACAGTCTTCATCGACCAGTGTTACGAAATATCGTATCGTGTTATTTCGTCGCATAAAGACAAGGTTATTTATTAGTAATACGTTCATTATTACAGGAAGAACGAGGTTAACAACCGTGGAGGTCGTTAACGGTCAGCACGGTATGGCTCGTCCGGTGGCGAGAATTTGTTAGCCAATCAGAACCACCGGGCGAGGTAACGATTGCTGGCCGGAGCATGTGGAGAAACAGACCTCTACTCCCCTCCATTCAGTCAACATGCTGTCGTCACTTTCGGATGTTTGACCAACGGACCCAACTGTTCCAGTATACTCCACCCTCACCAAAGGAAACGGACGTGAGGACCTAGCGGCATGGTAAACGTCTCTGAGGTCGTGGAAGGCACCGTCATTGATAGTTAGAGGCGTTGAGGTAACACAGTGTCCGAGTAGTGGTCCTAATTACGGAAAAGTGGATGATCTATAAGTGGGAAGAACAATCGGACAAGAGACGACCATTTCATGGTCGCAGTCTCTTATATATATATGTATATATATATATATATATATATATATATATATATATATATATATATATATGTATAACTGTACTTATGTACAATGCCTTATTATATATACATGTAATATATTGTATATAAGGTGGATCGAGATATATCTGAATATATCCATGATGAAGTTTTTATACAAACTTATTTTCTTGTCCTTTGTCAGACCTCAGCACAAAGTGTGTCGCACCTGACAATAGGTCCGGCTGAGGGTGACACCTGATCAAATTAATGTACCGTTATAGTACAACGAAACATAAGATAAACACTCAGAATAAACCTAAATTAAATGTGTTGGGTTGTCGACAGTTCGATCCCAACACCTAGCAGCAGCTTTTGATACAGCAAACAGAGAAATCATACTGGAACAGCTTGTGTCGGAAAATCCGACACCATTTAATAATATCATACAGGCAGATAATATTGCTGTGTTGTATAAACAAGTTAACCCATAGAAAATGTAACTTGTAGTGGAATTTCCGTCAATAGAAAACGGGATATCATTAAATATACATATATATAAATATACATATATAAATATATATATATATATATATATATATATATATATATATATATATATATATATATATATATATATATATATATATGTCGTACCTAGTAGCCAGAACGCACTTCTCAGCCTACTATGCAAGGCCCGATTTGCGTGATAAGCCAAGTTTTCATGAATTAATTGTTTTTCGACTACCTAACCTACCTAACCTAACCTAACCTAACTTTTTCGGCTACCTAACCTAATCTAACCTATAAAGATAGGTTAGGTTAGGTAGGGTTGGTTAGGTTCGGTCATATATCTACGTTAATTTTAACTCCAATAAAAAGAAATTTACCTCATACATAATGAAATGGGTAGCTTTATCCTTTCATAAGAAAAAAATTAGAGAAAACATATTAATTCATGAAAACTTGGCTTATTAGGCAAATCGGGCCTTGCATAGTAGGCCGAGTACGACGTTCTGGCTACTAGGTACAACATATATATATATATATATATATATATATATATATATATATATATATATATATATATATATATATATATATATATATATATATATATATATATATATATATATATATATATATATATATATATATATTGTCGGAAAATCCGACACCATTTAATAATATTACATGCAATTGCAGATATTGTTGCTTCATTGTATAAACAAGTTACCCATAGAAAATGTAGCTTGTAGTGGAATTTTTCGTCTATAGAAAACGGGATATCATTGCCACATACTATTATAAATTCAACACCTATTATGGTGGGAATTATTCTTAAATACATTAGTCTTTGGACTTTACCATCATAAAAACATCTCATATAAATTAACTTAATTATCAGAATTAAAATAGAGTAAATGGGACCCTTCTATCACTTACTGTCATCTGGACAATGTAGGCCAGTAGCGTCAGTTGTGAGGGAGTGGTCAGCCATTGTTATTGTTTAAGACCACAGAGTCGTGGAGCGAATTACGGCTCCTATAAATTCCCTTGGACGAAGTGTTATGGAAGATCAGAGTAGTGATCTGCCATCAACACGCTGTCATCAATCTCAAGGGAAGTGTCTTTCCGAAACCCGATTATCTAATCATTTTTGGCCATTAATGTCAGTAGATAGGGTGTACCGGTTAGAACACGAATGATCGACTCAAAGAAGGTAATTAAGCCTAGGTCTTTATGGTTCCATGTACAGTGGAACCATAAAGACCTAGGCTTAATTACCTAGGTCAGACCTAGGCTCTGATATAGCTGTCATATATTAGGATTCTGGCTTTACAGCTAGCGCCCTTTTGACAGGTCAAGACGAGGAAGCATGCTTTGTGCATCAGTTACCAGGGTGATAGAAGCTACCTCAAAGAGGATAATTTGGTGTCTACATCCTAGTTATATCTGGTGGACTAAGGCCTGCTGTACAAATAAGATAAGGAACCTCTTCAATGTATGTAGTCTAATACTGTAGTTTGATTGGCTGCATATATATAAATTCAATATAAACCCCCCTAATGTGTAGAGGATCGATTTGTGAGATTATTGCAGAAATACAGTCCACTTAACATCATACAAATTGCTATCGAAGTATATAAATTAACGTAAATATAAATTCTATATAAATTCATATAAATTAAATAAATATAAATCTCACAGGTCAGTTCCCACAGCTTGCCGAGCTGGGAATACAGGGAAAATTACTGAAATGGATAAAGGGCTATTTGTCTAATCGAACAGCATATGTTTTGTTTAATGGTATTAAAAGCACAGAGAGCAAACACTTTGAACTGAGAACTCCACAAGGAGGGGTCCTCAGCCCCTTGTTGTTCAACGTTCTGATGCATAAACTTATTAAAGATCTTCCAACTAATAATGAAGATACTGTCATTTGTTATGCTGATGATATATGTTTACAGGCTACCAACGAGCCTAGAATGCAAGTTCTGCTCGATGCTCTTGCTACTAGAGCCGAGGAATGTGGCTTCCTTATCTCTGTACAGAAAACTCGTGCCCTCATTCCATGTGGTATTCCACCAGCCAATTATCATTTAGATGGGCTAGCACTTGAAAACTGCGAGTCTTACAGATACCTTGGTGTCCCCATTAACGACCCTGGGTACCTTTCTTCTCTCAAGAGGCGACTGTGGGAGAGATTAAAGCCCTTGCGGGTCCTTGTTGGTGTCAATCATGGAATTAACGTGAGACTTGCTAGAATGTTTTATGTATCATTTATACGCTCTGTGATTGACTACAATGCTCTACATCTCACACTGTATAAGGTGGCTCGAGATATATCTGAATATATCCATGATGAAAGTTTTTATACAAACTTATTTTCTTGTCCTTTGTCAGACCTCAGCCTCAAATGGTCCTTTGTCAGACCTCAAATCTCTTGAGGTGAGGAGCAAAGTGTAGTAGAAGAGATAGTAGTAGGAATAAGAACTACTTCCAACCTATCAACCCACAAACTAATTATATAATCTGTAATCAAAACACCCAAAGTGTTCTGAAGTTTACAATTTCCCACGGGAAACAACAGGAATAAAAACCTCAACAAATCCATCCGCAAAACATGACAACAGTAGGCTATAATGGTGTCCAGAAGCCAGTCCACCAAACATGAAACTTGGTGATAGAAGTAAAACACATGTAGTTGGGACTCGCTCTCCCAACAATGGACGCAATAGTCTAAGCACACATTACCGAAGAATGAGAACGGCACAAGAGTAAACTGGAGGCATGACGAAGGCCGCGTCTCGACATCACGACACCCCCAGGAGATAACTAACACGCATCGAACAGAAGTACAGGACCAAGGAGTTAAAGTCATTCCCCAACCCGAGCCCACTACGAAAGGCCACCCAAAAAATGACCAAGGACTTCACTTCTTTACACATTGTAAAGACCAATCCCACCCTCCGCCAGACGCATACACAAGGAAGAGCGTCGAACCGGGTGGTACCTGCCTACCTACACATACCTAAAGATCATCTTCTCCATTTCAAGCGCTCGGGCACTGCCCAAAGGGAAACAATGGGCCAAATACCAGACCCTAGACAGAAAAATACAGTTCACAATAATCGCTCTCAGAAGCAGGGTCAAGACCCGCTTAGACAGCCTCCCCACTGCCACCACCACCCAGCGAGAAACCGCCGCCCAGTTACAAAGCACCGATTCCTCAAAGAGCTAAACCAAGTTATTCCCAGCATCTGAACACACCGTACCAGGGGAAGCCCAGACCCTTCTCAGGACGCCCAGGAAGCCCTCCCGGGCGCACAAGATCTCTCACATTGTAAGTGGGAGATGTTATTGGGACACAACTTGACAGGGGAGAGGGATGGGACCGTACCTGACAGAGGAGAGGGATGGGACCGTACTTGATGGGAGAGGGATGGGACAGTACCTGACAGGGAGGAGGGATGGGACGGTACCTGACAGTGGAGAGGGATGGGACCGTACTTGATGGGAGAGGGATGGGACAGTACCTGACAGGGGGGAGGGATGGGACCGTACCTGACAGGGAGAGGGATGGGACCGTACTGACAGGGGAGAAGGATGATGGGAGAGGGATGGGACAGTACCTGACAGGGAGGAGGGATGGGACGGTACCTGACAGGGAGAGGGATGGGACAGTACTTGATGGGAGAGGGATGGGACGGTACCTGACAGTGGAGAGGGATGGGACGGTACCTGAACGGGGAGAGGGATGGGACAGTACGTGACAGGGGAGAAGGATGGGACAGTACCTGACAGTGGAGAGGGATGGGACAGTACCTGACAGGGGAGAGGGATGGGACAGTACCTGACAGTGGAGAGGGATGGGACAGTACCTGACAGTGGAGAGGGATGGGACAGTACCTGACAGGGGAGAGGGATGGGACAGTACGTGACAGGGGAGAGGGATGGGACAGTACCTGACAGTGGAGAGGGATGGGACAGTACGTGACAGGGGAGAAGGATGGGACAGTACCTGACAGTGGAGAGGGATGGGACAGTACGTGACAGGGGAGAGGGATGGGACAGTACGTGACAGGGGAGAGGGATGGGACAGTACCTGACAGTGGAGAGGGATGGGACAGTACGTGACAGGGGAGAAGGATGGGACAGTACCTGACAGGGGAGAGGGATGGGACAGTGCCTGACAGGGGAGAGGGATGGGACAGTACCTGACAGTGGAGAGGGATGGGACAGTACCTGACAGGGGGAGAGGGATGGGACAGTACCTGACAGGGGGGAGGGATGGGACAGTACCTGACAGGGGGGAGGGATGGGACAGTACCTGACAGGGGAGAGGGATGGGACAGTACCTGACAGTGGAGAGGGATGGAACAGTACCTGACAGTGGAGAGGGATGGAACAGTACCTGACAGGGGAGAGGGATGGAACAGTACCTGACAGGGGAGAGGGATGGGACAGTACCTGACAGTGGAGAGGGATGGAACAGTACCTGACAGGGGAGAGGGATGGAACAGTACCTGACAGGGGAGAGGGATGGGACAGTACCTGACAGGGGAGAGGGATGGGACAGTACGTGACAGGGGAGAGGGATGGGACAGTACATGGCAGGGGAGAGGGATGGGACAGTACCTGACAGGGGGAGAGGGATGGGACAGTACCTGACAGGGGGAGAGGGATGGGACAGTACCTGACAGGGGAGAGGGATGGGACAGTACCTGACAGGGGAGAGGGATGGGACAGTACCTGACAGTGGAGAGGGATGGGACAGTACCTGACAGTGGAGAGGGATGGGACAGTACCTGACAGAGAGGAGGGATGGGACCGTACTTGATGGGAGAGGGATGGGACAGTACCTGACAGTGGAGAGGGATGGGACAGTACCTGACAGTGGAGAGGGATGGGACAGTACCTGACAGGGGAGAGGGATGGGACAGTACCTGACAGGGGAGAGGGATGGGACAGTACCTGGCAGGGGAGAGGGATGGGACAGTACCTGACAAGGGAGAGGGATGGGACAGTACCTGACAAGGGGAGAGGGATGGGACAGTACCTGACAGGGGAGAGGGATGGGACAGTACGTGACAGAGGAGAAGGATGGGACAGTACCTGACAAGGGAGAGGGATGGGACAGTACCTGACAAGGGGAGAGGGATGGGACAGTACCTGACAGGGAGAGGGATGGGACAGTACGTGACAGAGGAGAAGGATGGGACAGTACCTGACAGTGGAGATGGATGGGACAGTACCTGACAAGGGGAGAGGGATGGGACAGTACCTGACAAGGGGAGAGGGATGGGACAGTACCTGACAGACAGGGAGGAGATGCTTGCCGGTGTTGGTGGTGGAGGTGAGGACGCGAGGTACAGGAGCCTGGCGGGCGTCGAACACCATCACGGCTCCGTCACTCCTGCCCGCCACCAGCACGCTCTCACGCTGAGGGGACAACACTGTGTTACACACTGGGAGAGGCAGTCAGATATAACCACACACACAACACTGTGTTACTCACTGGGAGAGGCAGGCAGATATAACCACACACACAACACTGTGTTACACACTGGGAGAGGCAGGCAGATATAACCACACACACAACACTGTGTTACACACTGGGAGAGGCAGACAGATATAACCACACACACAATAAAATATCCACAGTGAATATTAATTGGCTACACAATGTCAGTCTAGAGGTTGATCAAAGATCTCCTACCCAGGAAGAATGGATACTCCTTTACTAACTTACTTATTTATTAACCCATTAACAATCCCCCATATACATTCACACCAATAACAATAATAAAAATTACTTTACCACACTATCTTACGTTAAAAGCCTTGGTCCACATAAGCAGGATACAAGGTTTACACTGAGAACAAGCTATGGTAAAGTACTACTAGTGAAGCACTTGATGCTTGGGCAGCTTAGGGGGTAGTGAGCCCACGTGGTACCTTAACACAACACAACACTAATGGGTACCCAAAACCCTGGCAAATACTACCCCAAGGTCTCCACCAAACTTACAAACCCAGAGTAGGCACACTTAAAAAACACAAGACTTAACTTAATGGTACAGGAACTTAAGGTAAGGGAAATAAGTAAGAGGAAAGGTAGAGGAGTGCAGAGCAGCTCAGAAAGGTCTTGATCCCCACCAACGCCAGTCAGAGAAGAGAGAGCGTCTCCACTCTCCTCCCTCAGTTCACTCGCTGCCAGCCGACTACTCAACTAATCGTACACCATTCCTATCCAAAGTTTACTCAGGTTTACTTTACAAATGATTAGAAAGTATTAGCAAACATAGTTGGTGCCTATTTTATTATTTAATACTCAACCCCAAACTCAGTCTTTACATGCTCTTTGAGAAACAAGAATAATCTTACATCTGGCAGGGAAGCTACAAACTTGATTTGATTTGAAACAAATGCAGCTTGCCATGCGTTCTCAATACTATAAGGTAGTTTATTTAGCTCAATTTTGACCTCTGGTTTCCACTGAGGAACCCAGGGTCGTAACACTCTGTTACACACTGGGAGAGGCAGTGTTATAAATAAATGTATGTTCTATGGGGAGTCTAGTATTAAATGGAAGTAGGGGCAGTAGTTAGCATTAAGAGTTATCAAATATGGGAGATCTAAAGGCCCGGCCCCCAAAATAAAATATCCACAGTGAATATTAATTTGCTACTAGATCATGTCAGTCTAGAGGTTGATCATAGATCTCCTACACAGGAAGAATGGATACTCCTTTAACTAACTAACTTATTTATTAACCCCTTAACAACCCCCCATATACATTCACACCAATAACAATAATAATAACTACTTTGCCACACTATCTTACGTTAAAAACCTTGGTCCATATAAGCAGGATACAAGGTTTACATTCAGAACAAGCTAGGGTAAAGTACTACTAGTGAAGAACTTGAAACTTGAGTCAGCTTAGGGTAGGGAGGCCACGTGGTTCCACTGGGACTCCCAGTGGAACCACGTGGCCTCCCTACCACGTGGTTCCTAACCTAACCTATCTTTATAGGTTAGGTTAGGTTACGTAGCCGAAAAAGTTAGGTTAGGTTAGGTAGGTTAGGTAGTCGAAAAACAATTAATTCGTGAAAACTTGGCTTATTAGGCAAATTGGGCCTTGCATAGTAGGCTCAGAAGTGCGTTCTGGCTACTAGGTACGACATATATATATATGTCGTACCTAATAGCCAGAACGCACTTCTCAGCCTACTATGCAAGGCCCGATTTGCCTAATAAGCCAAGTTTTCATGAATTAATTGTTTTTCGACTACCTGGCTTATTAGGCAAATCGGGCCTTGAATAGTAGGCCAAAAGTGAGTTCTGGCTACTAGGTACGACATATATATATATATATATATATATATATATATATATATATATATATATATATATATATATATATATATATATATATATATATATATATATATATATATATATTAGTATATTTTGGTAGCAGTCTTTCCTGTAGACATATATATTAAATATGACCGAAAAAGTAAGATTAATAATTCTAACACGAATTTTCTCGATCTTTCTTATGTTTCTTTTCACTGTTGATGGTAATTGAAAAATCAATTCTCCAAAATTCATTTTTATTTCTAGTCTGACGCGACACTTGAGCGCGTTTCGTAAAACTTATTACATTTTCAAAGACTTTAGTTTACACACACACAACTGAACTATAACTGAATAGAGCTTAAACATCTTCGATTTTTTATACCTGCATTTGGGTGAGGTGATATGTTACAACAGTTTTGGATGAGGTGAAAACAAACTTTCAACACAAGACAGAACACGAAATAATGGGTATTGAAGGTAAGAATGGAAGTAATTGCAGAGGGCCTATTGGCCCATATTTCTTGATGCTTCTATATTGGAGCGGAGTCTTGAAGTGGGTAGAATATAGTTGTGCATTAATTGGCTGTTGATTGCTGGTGTTGACTTCTTGATGTGTAGTGCCTCGCAGATGTCAAGCCGCCTGCTATCGCTGTATCTATCGATGATTTCTGTGTTGTTTGCTAAGATTTCTCTGGTGATGGTTTGGTTGTGGGAAGAGATTATATGTTCCTTAATGGAGCCCTGTTGCTTATGCATCGTTAAACGCCTGGAAAGAGATGTTGTTGTCTTGCCTATATACTGAGTTTTTTGAGGCTTACAGTCCCCAAGAGGGCATTTGAAGGCATAGACGACGTTGGTCTCTTTTAAAGCGTTCTGCTTTGTGTCTGGAGAGTTTCTCATGAGTAGGCTGGCCGTTTTTTTGGTTTTATAGTAAATCGTCAGTTGTATCTTCTGATTTTTGTCTGTAGGGATAACGTTTCTATTAACAATATCTTTCAGGACCCTTTCCTCCGTTTTATGAGCTGTGGAAAAGAAGTTCCTGTAAAATAGTCTAATAGGGGGTATAGGTGTTGTGTTAGTTGTCTCTTCAGAGGTTGCATGGCGTTTCACTTTCCTTCTTATGATGTCTTCAACGAAACCATTGGAGAAGCCGTTGTTGACTAGGACCTGCCTTACCCTACAGAGTTCTTCGTCGACTTGCTTCCATCCTGAGCTGTGGCTGAGAGCACGGTCGACATAAGCGTTAACAACACTCCTCTTGTACCTGTCTGGGCAGTCACTGTTGGCATTTAGGCACATTCCTATGTTTGTTTCCTTAGTGTAGACTGCAGTGTGGAAACCTCCGCTCCTTTCCATGACTGTTACATCTAGAAAGGGCAGCTTCCCATCCTTCTCCATCTCGTAAGTGAAACGCAACACAGAATTCTGCTCAAATGCCTCCTTCAGCTCCTGCAGATGTCTGACATCAGGTACCTGTGTAAAAATGTCGTCAACATACCTGCAGTATATGGCCGGTTTCAAGTTCATGTCGACTAAGACTTTTTGCTCGATGGTACCCATGTAGAAGTTCGCAAACAGGACACCTAGGGGAGAACCCATGGCGACCCCATCTACTTGCTTATACATGTGCCCATCCGGGCTCAAGAAGGGTGCCTCTTTAGTACAAGCTTGGAGTAGTTTCCTTAGAATGTTTTCTGGTATGTCAAGAGGAGTACAGGCCGGATCACGATACACTCTGTCCGCTATCATCCCGATTGTTTCATCCACAGGTACGTTGGTAAACAGTGATTCTACGTCCAACAAGGCTCTTATCCCTGTGGCCCGTGTTCCCCGCAGTAAGTCAACAAATTCCTTTGGAGACTTCAGGCTGAAGGCACAAGGGACATAAGGAGTCAGCAAGCCGTTGAGTCGTTTCGCCAGTCTGTACATGGGTGTGGGTATCTGGCTGATGATTGGCCGAAGTGGGTTTCCAGGCTTATGTGTCTTGACATTCCCATACGCGTATCCAGGTTTATATTCCCCAATAATCTTTGGCAGGTGGAGTCCGGATTTCTTGGCGTTCACAGTTTCGATCAATTTGTTGACCTTTGCTTTCAATTCGGCTGTAGTGTTCTTCATTACCCTTTGGAATTTAGTTTGGTCAGAGAGTATGAGGTTCATTTTCGCCAGATATTCGTCTTTTTTAAGAATTACGTATATTGGCGACTTGTCACCTCTCCTGACAACTATTTCCTTGTTCTCACGAAGGCTCTTAGCTGCCGCTTTGAGCTCAAGGGACAGTATGGTGCTTCTGTAGTTGCCTCGATTCTTTCCTCCTTCCGCAATAAGTTCTGCTTGTAAGGTGTCTTTGGTGGTGACCTTCTTTTGTGTCTCGAGGTCGAATATGTCGTCCAACAGAATCTCCAACTCCACTTTCCGGGCCATCTCACTCGGTCTGGACATAACGTGACAGTTTATACCCATATTTAGGAGAGTGACTTGGTCCTCAGTGAGGTTGATTCCTGCAAGGTTCAGGAAGTCGTCTCTTGGTCGTGGAATTGCCATAGGTCCTCCATATAACGTTGTTAGTTTCTTGATTATCCTTGTTTCAGTGCTGAGGTGATGTCGGTCTGTGAGGATGTCGAGGTGTTGCTCGATGCGAGTATGGAGACTTTCGTCGATGTTGCTGTTTCTCCATTCGTTTGTAGCATGTTGTTAATAGAAACGATATTGATAATAGAAAGATATTGTTAATACGTTATCCCTACAGACAAAAATCAGAAGATACAACTGACGATTTACTATAAAACCAAAAAAACGGCCAGCCTACTCATGAGAAACTCTCCAGACACAAAGCAGAACGCTTTAAAAGAGACCAACGTCGTCTATGCCTTCAAATGCCCTCTTGGGGACTGTAAGCCTAAAAAAACTCAGTATATAGGCAAGACAACAACATCTCTTTCCAGGCGTTTAACGATGCATAAGCAACAGGGCTCCATTAAGGAACATATAATCTCTTCCCACAACCAAACCATCACCAGAGAAATCTTAGCAAACAACACAGAAATCATCGATAGATACAGCGATAGCAGGCGGCTTGACATCTGCGAGGCACTACACATCAAGAAGTCAACACCAGCAATCAACAGCCAATTAATGCACAACTATATTCTACCCACTTCAAGACTCCGCTCCAATATAGAAGCATCAAGAAATATGGGCCAATAGGCCCTCTGCAATTACTTCCATTCTTACCTTCAATACCCATTGTTTCGTGTTTGAATTTAATACCCATTCAATACCCATTGTTTCGTGTTCTGTCTTGTGTTGGAATTTAATACCCATTGAACACCCATTGTTGAAAGTTCGTTTTTCACCTCATCCACCTCACCCAAATGTAGATATAAACCTCGAAGATATGTAAGCTCTATTCAGTTTCAGTTGTGTGTTTGTAAACTAAAGTCTTTGAAAATGTAATAAGTTTTACGAAACGCGCTTAAGTGTCGCGTCAGACTAGAAATAAAAATGAATTTTGGAGAATTGATCTTTGAATTACCATCAACAGTGAAAAGAAACATAAGAAAGATAGAGAAAATTCGTGTTAGAATTATTAATCTTACTTTTTCGGTCATATTTAATAATATATGTCTACAGGAAAGACTGCTACCAAATATACTAATATATATATATATATATATATATATATATATATATATATATATATATATATATATATATATATATATATATATATAGGTGCTCTCGTCTCTGTATACTCTGTCCAGTATCATTCCTATGGTTGTGTCGACTGGGACGTTGGTAAAAAGGGATTCAACGTCCAGGGAAGCGATGATTCCATCGGGCTGGGTAGATTTGATCAATTCTAGGAAATCTGCTGATGATTGTAGACTAAACTTACTTGGAGTGTAAGGAGTTAGGAGTTCATTGAGTTTCTTTGCCAGGTGATAAGTTGGGGTTGGTATTTGGCTGATTATAGGGCGTAGTGGGTTACCTGGTTTATGCGTCTTAACATTGCCGTAGGCATATCCTAAGCCATAGTCGCCTTGAAGTTTATTGAAATGCACACTACCTTTCTTTGCGTTGATTGCTGTAATTGTTTTGTTTACTTTCCGCTTAAGGTCTTCTACGGGGTTCCTCGTGATTCGTTGAAATTTGGAGTCGTCACTTAGGATGTCGCTAATTTTGTTCATGTATTCATGGGTAGGAATCAATACATATGCTGCTGTTTTGTCGGCTTTTCTTATTGTTACGTCTTTCAGATTTTTTAGTTGTTTCGCTGCTTCTTTGAGTCGTGGGGTTAAGATTGTAGATGAATATGTTCCTCGTTTTTTCCCTGCTTCTGCAAGTAGTTCAGCTTGAAGTGTGTCAGTGGTGATGACTTTTTTGTTGTCTTCTAGCTTATGGATATCGTCCAGAAGCATTTCGATTTCCAGGCGTTTTTGATGCATCTTTGGTTTAGATAGGAATTGACAATTTAGCCCAAGATTTAAGAGGTCTCGTTGGTCCTGGGTAAGATCATAAGAAGTCAGGTTAAAGTAGCCATCTTTAGGACGAGGGATTTTTAGCTGTCCACCGTTTAGGGATGTTAACTTACGGAGTGTCTTTGTTTCTACAAGAGTTTTATGTTGTTGTTTCAGGTTAAATAGTTCACTGTTGATGGTTTGCTTGAGTTGGATAGGGATGTCGTACTGGGTCCATTTGTTTAACAGATGCTCCGCCTGCTCTATAAAGGTTTGGAGGGCTTCCTTCTTCTTGTTTAGTTGATGCCGAATGAGCTCTTGCCTATACCTATAGGTAAACTCTGTATTGCGGACTGCTGGGTCATGTGGGTTTATATTGGTGTATACTGGCAGCAGGTTTTCTTTCAAACATGTTTCATTGAATATGACCGCATATTCTGTATTTATTATTTTCTGGTTTAGGGCTTCTATCCCTCTAACTATTTTCTTAGCATCAGGGCTTAATTGAAATAGGAGTTCTCCAAAACTCATTTTCGTACTTTTAAGGTGAAGAAAAGAAGTGATTTACTATAGAGTGTATTACACTTATTTGTATAATTTGCACGACGTTTCGAACCTCCATGGTTCATTCTCAAGTGAACAGATCTTACAATACTAGTTGATTTTATACCCGCATTAGGTCAGGTGATAATTCAATGAAGGTGAAAACATGGGGGGATACATAAGGGATAAACATAGGGGCTGCAGAAGGCTTATTGGCCCATACGAGGCATCTCCTATCTAAACACAAAGATTAATCCAGTGTAATTGGCCTGTTATGTTGGACATTGTCTTCTGTGTTGGCATCGATATGTTCTTGTCTTGTCCTTACTTTCATGGTGGGTAGAGTAAATAGTTCCGTGATTTGGGTGTTCATGGTAGGTCGCTCTATTCTTATGTGAATTGCCTCAAGAATATGTAATCTTCTTGAATCTTGGGTTTTGTCTATTATGCAAGTATTCTTGTTCAACATTTCTCTTGTTAGAGTAATGTCATGGGCTTGTCTCATGTGATTCCTAGGGGCACCAGATTGAAGATGGCATGTCAAACGCCTCGTCAGCTTGGTCGACGTCATACCTATGTACTTACATTGAAGGTTACATCCTTCGTGGGGGCAAGTGTACATGTATACAACGCTTGACTGCTGTAGAGGGTTCTCCGTCGGCTTCGGGCTGTTTTTGATAAGGAGTTCGGAAGTCTTCTTGGTTTTGTAGAATATTATCAGGTTTATGTTTTGGTTGGGAGTAGTGCTTTTTACTCCTTTACGGATTATTTCTTTCATTATTCTTTCCTCTTTTATATGTTCACTGTGCATGGTTGATTTGTAATATAATTTTATTGGGGGTGTTGTGGTTTCTGTTCTAGGTTCTGATTTATACCAACGGTCCAAGTGTCTTCTTATAGCAGCGTTTATTTCCGCGTTGCTATATCCGTTGTTCACCAATACCTGAGTTACTCTTTCAAACTCTCTACTCACGTTGCTCCATTCAGAGCAGTGGGTAAGCGCTCGACGAATATAAGCATTGAGAACACTGGCTATGTATCTTTGGGGGCACTCACTATATATATATATATATATATATATATATATATATATATATATATATATATATATATATATATATATATATATATATATATGTCGTACCTAGTAGCCATAACGCACTTCTCAGCCTACTATGCAAGGCCCGATTTGCCTAATAAGCCACGTTTTCATGAATTAATTGTTTTTCGAGTACCTAACCTACCTAACCTATCCTAACTTTTTCGGCTACCTAACCTAACCTAACCCATAAAGATAGGTTAGGTTAGGTTAGGTAGGGTTGGTTAGGTTCGGTCATATATCTACGTTAATTTTAACTCCAATAAAAAAAAATTGACCTCATACATAATGAAATGGGTAGCTTTATCATTTCATAAGAAAAAAATTAGAGAAAATATATTAATTCAGGAAAACTTGGCTTATTAGGCAAATCGGGCCTTGCATAGTAGGCCGAGTACGATGTTCTGGCTACTAGGTACAACATTATATATATATATATATATATATATATATATATCTATATATATATATATATATATATATATATATATATATATATATATATATATATATATATATATATATATATATATATATATATATATATGTACATGTGTGTATATCACGAAAATAAACACGTGATTAAGAATGTGACAATGTCAGACCACGGAGGAAAATGAAACAGGAATTTCCTTAAGTACTTTCGTATATTAAATACATCTTCAGAAGGAATTCCTTCTGAAGATGTATTTAATATACGAAAGTACTTAAGGAAATTCCTGTTTCATTTTCCTCCGTGGTCTGACATTGTCATATATGTATATGTATATATATATATATATATATATATATATATATATATATATATATATATATATATATATATATATATATATATATATATATATATATATATATATATATATAGCTGAAACAAGCCTGAATGGTTCCCAGGACTATATGCAACTGAAAACTCGCACCCCAGAAGTGACTCGAACTCATACTGCCAGGAGCAACAATGCAACTGGTGTATACAGGACACCTTAATCCACTCGACCATCATAACCTGTCAAAAGCTGATGGTAGCTGAGGCTATTTTGCCCATCAACCTGCTGGCCCTCTGATGGTAATCTTGGACATAGTATTTTATCAAATCACCTCATCCTTTGGGGCACACATGAGGAACACAAATGCGAACAAGCCTGAATGGTCCCCAGGCACATATGCAACTGAAATCTCACACCCCAGAAGTGACTCGAGGTGAGGGAGGGAGAAGTGGGGGGGGGGGGGAGGCCGCAGGGTGTGAACAGTACTCACCGTGGGGTGGAACTGTACAGAGGTGAGGCCGCAGGATGTGGACAGTACTCACCGTGGGGTGGAACTGTACAGAGGAGGGCCGCAGGCCGCAGGGTGGGGTGGAACTGTACAGAGGAGAGGCCGCAGGGTGTGAACAGTACTCACCGTGGGGTGGAACTGTACAGAAGTGAGGGCCGCAGGGTGTGAACAGTACTCACCGTGGGGTGGAACTGTACAGAGGTGAGGCCGCAGGGTGTGAACAGTACTCACCGTGGGGTGGAACTGTACAGAGGTGAGGCCGCAGGGTGTGAACAGTACTCACCGTGGGGTGGAACTGTACAGAGGTGAGGCCGCAGGGTGTGGCGAGACAACGCTCAGGGTAGCCAGGGTTCTTGAGGGTATAGAGACACAGGAAGCCTCCAGCCTCAGACACTCGCCCACTGTCTGGAACAAAAACATCTGAGCGTCACTACCTCTCCAGACTCACATGTCCTCGCAAGGGTTACCGTCTATACAATTGCTAGAGTTTATATTCATCTCATCTATACCAAGAACCGTTAAGTTTCTCTGCTATATAATATTTATGAAACAGTATACTGATTTTACGATAAAAACCCATATGTGTGTTTTGGTGAAATTTATGTAAGGAATTTACACCAAGTCTTTGGCACTCTCCTGAGTGCTTTGTCAAGGTCTAAGTGTACAGATGAGTGTAGATCAACGTCTAGTCAACGTCTTGATTAGACGTTGAGGTGTAAATCTCATCCTAATCACACACTCAGACCTTGACAAAGTACTCAGATGAATGCAAAAGACTTTATGTAAATCCCTTACATAAATTTCACAAATACACAAGCGTGGGTTCTTCATCCTGTATTATTATGTCTGTGAGAAGATATTACCATTACTACTAAGCATACTTATAGATATATACAGTAGAGGGATAGACGGCTTAGCGAGGAAGTTTTGTTTTCGGACACTTCCTCGCTAAGCCATACAGCTTAAAGGGTCCCAGGGATGAATCTGAAAGGTCACCTCTATGCCCTACCCTATTGGGTAAATTTTTTGCAGAGTTTCCAGTATCAACGCTAAATTTTTTGCAGAGTTTCCAGTATCAATCGTTAAGCATGTAAAGATGTTATCATGTAAAGATGTTATCATGTAAAGATGTTATCATGTAAAGATGTTATCATGTAAAGATGTTATCATGTAAAGATGTCGTAGAATGTTTCCTTCGATGCTCAAAGAATATTTTTTTTAAGAAACTTTGTGAAGAAGTTACCTCCAATAATTCACTTATTTTACGAAGGAATTAGTTGAGAAATAATGTAAAGATATTACCTTAAACTATTTTCAAGTGAATACTTAGTTAAGATATTGCTTGAAAAGAAAGTTTTAGTAAATTTAATACTGCATGAAGAGTAATACTAATTAAGAAAAGATGTGATGACAATTACTTTAATTTATATTTATTAGCACGAAGTGTAATGTTAGTTAAGAAACTATAAGAAAAGGATTGACTTAGTAAATTTGTTACTGCATTACACGTAGTTTTGTTTAAAAACAGTGTTAGTAAGAAATAGAGCTGGGGAGGGGTGTTATTTGGGTGGAGCTGGGGAGGGGGGGGATGGTATGTTTAAGGCAGATAGTGTGAGGGGGGAAGAGTAGGGAGGTGCGAGGGGAAGATACGGGTGAATGATGGGGAAGCTGTGGAGTGAGGGAGGAGATAAGCGGGAAGGGTGCGGTGTCGTGATTAAGGAGAAGGCAGATGTGACGGGGAAAGGGGGGGGGGGCGGAATGAAGGAAGGGAAAGAGAAAGATAATTATTTCGTTTGGCATGAGCTGACAATTATCCCTACCTGCATGTGTATTTACACAAGTAAACACATGCACACAGGTATTGAAGGAGAGGTCATGACTCATGTTTACCTACAATGATAAGGATATACTTTAACCTGGGAAACATGTTTTCTTCGATAAGAGTGATGGACAAGTGGCGAGCTATCTCAGTTGTTCTGGAATAACTATGTTTTTGGGAACATTGAAGTAATGCAGAGGAGCTCGGTAACTTCATTTTTTTTACTATGTTAGAAATAACTATTTAGAATTCTTAAAAACGTTTAACTGTTAATAAGAAAGTTATACGAATGAACTAAGGCAGGGACCGGAGCTGAGACTTGGTAACTATTTCATTAGTACTTAATGTAAATGAAATAACTATATTTAAAGCTTATGAAAATCATGTTGATAGTAACAAAATTATAAGAGTGAACTAAGGAGCAGGCCAGAAGCTGGAGCTTGTCACTTACTTTATCTTGTTTTACAACGTCAGTAAAACGTCTGTTTATATCTCGGTGAAATTTAACTGTTAATAACGAAGTTATAGAAGTGAACTATAGCGGAGGACAAGAGCTGAAACACTGTAACTGGCTTGTTGTATTTCACTACGTCGGAAATACACCTGTTTTAAACCTCAGGGAAATTAAACTGTTATTAACGGAGTTATAGGAGTTAACTAATGCAGGGGACATGAGCTGAAACTCGGTAACTAAATTGTTGTATTTTACTATGCTTGAAATACACCTGTTTTAAATTGCAGTAAAATTGAACTGTTAATAGCGAAAATACAGGAGTGAACTAAGGCAGAGGACAAGAGCTGAAACTCTATGCAGATGAAGAGTCACAATAACGTGGCTGAAAAATGTTGACCAAACCACACACTAGAAATTGAAAAAGACAATGACTTTTCAGTCCGTCCTGGACAATCGGCTTGATAACGGTCCAGGACGGACCAAAACATCGTCGTCTCTTCAATTTCTAGTGTGTGGTTTGGTCAACATTTTTTGGTAACTCTATTTTCTTTTTTTAATGCATCTGAAATAAATGTTTTAATTCTCAGGGAAACTGAGCTGTTAATTAATAACGAACTTACTAGAAACAATTAAGAAGGGGGGACAAGAGCTGAAACCCGGTAACTCTATTTTCTTTTCCAACTACGTCTGAAATATGAATGTTTTAAATTTCAGGAAAATTGGACAGTTAGTAGCAAAACTACACCTATAAACATATAGAGCCAGGTTCAAGAACTAACATCCAACACTGGTAATTCCTTAACAAACTCTTAATGAACCTATTCTCTGAAAATGGACTTGATACGATAACGGTTGTGGCCAGAAAACAGGTAAGGCTTAGCGTTGATATTGGAAACCCTAAAATTTACCACAAAACGGAGTAGGGCATAAAGGTGACATTTCAGGTTCAACCCTGCGACTCTTTCAAGCTGTTAGGCTTAGCGAAGAAGTGTCTGTAAACAAAACTTCCTCGCTAAGCCGTCTATCCCTCTACTATACACAACATTGTTGTCACCATTGCAGTATGATGAAATATACTTATTAAAGTATATGTTATCACCCAGTGTATAGCAATTTCCTCGTTATACACTAGACCCTAACTTTATGTACATTGTTACATTCAATTATCAACTATTCAATAAATCTCTAAATTCTGAAATTATATGATCGTTAATTACTCTTCAATTATGTTTAAAGTGTTTATTAAGAACTGGTATCTCCTTTATTGAGAGTATCCTGAGTGTGTTCGTATGTGTGTACTCACCTAGTTGTGCTTGCTGGGGTTGAGCTTTGGCTCTTTGGTCCCGCCTCTCAACTGTCAATCAACTGGTATGCAGATTCCGGGGGCCTACTGAGCTCTATCATATCTACATTTGAAACTTTGTATGCAGTCTGCCTCCATCACATGGCTGCCAATGCATTTCATTTGTTAACTACACCGAAAAAGTTCTTCCTAACGTCTCTGTGGCTCATTTGGGTACTCAGTTTCCACCTGTGTCTCCTTGTCCTCATACCACCCATGTTAAACAGTTTATCTACCCCGGTCAATTCCTCTGAGAATTTTGTAGGTTGTGATCATGTCTTCCCGAGATCTCATGTCTTCCAGCGACGTGAGGTGCATTTCATGCAGCCTTTCCTCGTAACTCGTACCTCTTAGTTCTGGGACTAACCTAGTGGCTTACCTCTGAACTTCTTCCAACTTCATCTTGTGTGTGTATTCACCTAGATGTATTCACCTAGTTATGTTTGCGGGGGTTGAGCTTTTCTCTTTCGGCCCGCCTCTCAACTGTCAATCAACTGTTTACTAACTACTTTTTTTTCACACCACACACACCAGGAAGCAGCAAGTGACAGCTGACTGACTCCAAGGTACCTATTTACTGCTAGGTAACGGGGGCATTCAAGGAGAAAGAAACTTTGCCCATTTGTTTCTGCCCGGTGCGGGAATCAAACCCTCGCCACAGAATTACGAGTCCTGCGCGTTATCCACCAGGCTACCACTAGTGTGTGTGTGTGTGTGTGTGTGTGTGTGTGTGTGTGTGTGTGTGTTCACTAATTTGTCCCTGCAGGATCGAGCATTGGCTCTTGGGTTCCGCTTTTCTAGGCATTTTATTTAAAGAAATGACTCATGTCTTTCTCAATCATACCTGGTTTTAAAGCTATGAATAGTGTTTGCTTCCACAATGTGCTCCTTTAGTTCATTCCAGTTCCCCACTGCTCTCACACTAAAAAGAAAACTTTCTAACATCTCTTTGACTCCATCTTCCACTTATGTCCCCTTCTTCTGTTTGTATTCCATGTGAACATTTCGTCTATTTACACTGTCAATTCCCCTAAGTATTTTGTATTAGCTCCCCTCCTTTTTTTAACGTCGTTAGGTTCAGTTCCTTCAGTCGCTCTTCGTATCCCATCCCATGCAACTTCGAGACTAGCCTCGTCGCAAATTTGTGAACTGTTTAAACTTTTATAATAATAATAATAATTTTTATTTAGGTAAGGTACATACATAAAGAGATTTTACAAAGTTTGTTGGCTTTATAGATAGAGCTAGTACATACAATGCCTAAAGCCACTATTACGCAAAGCGTTTCGGGTTTTCTAATGTGTTTCTTTAGATGGGGGCTCCATGATGGAGCTGCATACTAAGCCATACATACTTGTAGGGGCTATGTAAGACTGGTCTTACGTAGGCAGTGTAAAGCACTCTAAAGGCCTCCTTACATAGGTTTTTGAATGACGTTCTAACTTTTGCTAGCGTAGAGTACGGTGATGTCGTTATCCAATGTACATGTGCCTCAGGAGTTAGATTTTGTGTTACGTCTTTCCAAGGTCCCTTTCTCGAATCGTCACAGGAAAGTAGTTTCCCTTCATTGGGTATTAACCCTTTGGTCTCCTGTCACCTAGTCCCATTTTCATAACTTTACACTTGCTCGTGTTGAATTTCGGTAGCCATTTCTCTGACCATCTCTGCAGCTTGTTCAAGTCCTCTTGGAGTATCCTATCTTGAAGTGATTTCTGGGCTTAGTGTCCCCTTAGGCTTCCACCCCCTAGGAAGCAGCCCGTAGCAGCTGTCTAACTTCCAGGTACCTATTTACTGCTAGGTAACAGGGGCATCAGGGTGAAAGAAACATTTTGCCCATTTGTCTACGCCTCTACCCGGAACCTCAGGACTATGAATCCGAAGTGCTGTCCACCCAGTTGTCAGGTGCTCTTCATCCAGCTGTCAGACGCCCCACAATCCTCATCTGTCACAACTCGTCTGGTTAATTTCGCATCATCCACATATAGGACTCGACTCCTGTAGACATGTCATTCATGTATATTATAAATTGAACTGGTCACAGCACCCATCCTGGAGGTATTCCACTCGTTACAATTTGCCAGTCCGATTTCTCGCCACTGACTGGTACTCTTTGGCTCCTGCTTGTTAAGTAATTCTTTACCCAAGCTAGGGCTTTTCCGCATACTCCTGCCTGCCTCTCAAGTTTGAATAGCAGTCTCCTGTGGGGTACTGTGTCAAAGGCTTTTTGGCAGACCAGAAATATGCAGTCTGCCCATCTTTCTCAGTCCTGCCATATACTTGTTACTTCATCATAGAATTCCAGAAGGGTTGTTAGGCATTATTTCCCTTCTCTGAATCTATGTTCGTATTTGTTTACATACTGTCCTGACCTGAGGGGGTTGGGGCTAATGGAGCTTAAACCTCCAAAGAGCTCTGGTTGATGTACCAGACTGTTACTTGCATACAGGTGGACAACTTCCCCAACCATTCTCTGCCGGAACAGACAACCGACCTCGGCAGCCACACTCCCGCTACCGACGGTCGACCAGCAATGAACTCTGGAGTGCTTAAACTTTTCTCAGATTACCCTGTATGCCTCTTGATTTTGGAGAGGGGTTCAGCGTCACATATCTAAGGGTGCGGCTCCAACACTGGCCTCGTTGTCATGTGCACACACCCTACATGAGCTGCCGTGACTCCCCACTCTCTCCTTGTTTGGAATGATCTCCTCAATTCCCTTTTTGTAAATTAGTATTTTCTGTCACCCTGTCTGCAGCTGTGATACTTTCTCTCTCCCTTCTACTTTCTGGGAAGCCTCACCAGGACAAGTACAAAAGCCAGTTAACAATACACATTTAATAAACAAAAGAACTTATACAGTACATGAAATAAGAACAATAAAACATTAGCCTACAACACTCTGAGCTACTACAACTTGGTAGCAATCCAATACCATATCCTGGCTTCACCAACTGCCCCTCTCAAGTGGCTGCTTAACTCTTGGCTTGCCACTTACTACTCCCTCACTAAGTGGGGGTTAAATCTCGTCATAATAATATTATATAATCAGTCCTAAAATATATATAAAACTTAGCCTATGGCTGTAACACTAAAGACATCTGCATAAATATTCCCCAACACCAAAAAGAAATCAATCTCTCACCTTCCACTGCACCTTGCATGTCAATAAGCATTCAAGCACTCGCCTTATACATTAGGTGTGATCACCATGAACCTCTGTTTTGCTCCTAGAGGATCAATACCCTGTATATCTGCAGGTTCTCCCAGAATTGTCAACAAGGGTCTTCTGCAATCCTCCCAAACTGCTACACAATGAAGTTCTCATTAAACACCAGTGATGCTTCGCCACTGATCCCACAGACATGAGAAACTCCTCTTCACTGCTCTCCTACATGACTTGAGGTCCACTCCTCACTATGGGGGTCTGCTCTACCACAGAGTTCATCCTTCACTTCTCCAACCTCGAAGTTTCCTCCATTAACTTCTTCCCTGGCCTCGGAGTTCTTTAATCAACTCTTCTCCCCAAACAAACCTGCAATTTCCACTGCCATGCCAATCAAAATATTTCCCTAGTAAAACATAATTAAATGTATTCACTGAACATAAATATATTCCATCCAACATCACTTTAAACTTTCACACGTCGCGAGGGTACTCCCCCGTCCGGACGAGTCCATGCTCGACATTGGCTGGCAGCCTCAGCCTTGTGAGGCTGTCTGCCTCACTCACCCACTGACACTCGGCGAGGTGGACGCGTCGCTGTCCCCTCCAGCTTATTCCTCCATCTTTACTCTCTTATTTCAGCTTACTACCTTAATGAATCACATCTAACATACGTATAAACACTTGCCATGATCGCTGGACACATGATCAATCACAGGCAATCACTAACAACTGGTTAAATAGGCTTACCACAGAATTTATCTGATGCGGGCATTCACTCGATGACGATGACGCTCACATAGGCCGCCCACCAAAATGCTTCAGGACTGATTCACTAAGCTTCCTGCTGTCCCCGACATGAGTCCACAACGTTTTCAGACCGTCTCCACGACAGGAACGCCTGTTCACCTCCTTCCTCTTAAAGGTACAACAATTAGAGTTTCACCAAGGCTCGGCCAAACACTTCCAGACCGCCTCTAATTATCAAATTCACAGAGGGATGGTGTACTAAGTCCCCTACAGCTTCCTCACACTTACAGACAAGTATTCTTCACTCCAGCACCAACACAGGGAGACTATATTCCTCCTCCTTGCAGGAGATCAACACAGTACATCCACCTATGATGACAGTTGCGACTCAAGTGGAGTCAAGCTGTCCTGCAAGCCTCATACCTTGTCAGCAAAATCTCGACATCTCATGTCGTGCCACTTGTTTACACTTTCATCCTCTGCCCATGCTTTTAAACTATTCATTAACATTTGCCAAGTATTTAATATATATTCACACAACTATATATTCTTTGACTTCTCAATTGGGTTTAGTAGGTCGAATAACTCTCAGGCAGGTAGACTCGTTTTTTAGGCTACTTGGGGTCATAACAATACCTAATGTTCTCTAGGTGTGTAACCAGTCTTAACCTGTTTATTCTTTCAAGTACTTAACAGGGGATGCTTGTCAGTGATACTGGTCTGTAGTTAAGTGACTCTTTCATACCTCCTTTTCTGAAAATTGGTACTACATTTGCCTTTTCCAGCAAATGGGCAACTCTCCCTCCATAAGTGACTACTTATAGATCCTTGCCAGAGGCATCCCGAGGGCCTGCGCTGCCTCTTTTAGTATCCACAGCGATACATTGTCTGGTCCATCTGCTTTAGTTTCATCCAGTGTTATTAGCTATTTCATTACCTCCTCTGCTGTCACTTCTATATCCGTTAGTATCTCATCTTGGGTCATCTCCTCTTCTAACAACGGGAGCTGCTCAGGCTCAGTTGTGAACACTCCATGAAAATTGGCATTCATTACCTAGCAGATTTCCTTGTCGCTCTCTGTATATGCCCCATCTGTTTTCCTTAGTCTTGTCACTTGGTCGTTTATCGACATTTTCCTTCTTATATAATTATGGAGTAATTTAGGTTGCTTTTTGCTACCAATGCAATATGGTTTTCATATTTCCTTTCCGATACTCTCCTTATATTAATATCTTCATTCCTAGTTCTGCTGCATCTAATCTTATTGTCCTCTGTCCTTTGTCCTCTACTTTCTACACTTCCTCCTGCTTCTCATTTTTGCTTTTTGGCATTGTCTATTAAACCATAGGTTTTATATTCCCTTCTAATTTTTTCTTTTACTGTTGGTATAATACACCCTTCGGCCTCCTTGCATTTCCACTTGACCAAGTTCATCATATCTTGTAACGTTTTTCCTCTTGGTTGTTCTTCCCAGTGCACTTCTACCAGATATTATCTTATCCTCCTATAATCCTCTTTCCTATAGTCTGTTCTCCTTTCCCAGACCTCTTGCCCCGTGGTCACAATTTTAAGCTCGATCATGTAGTCAAAGACTAGGACACAATGATCACTGGCTCCTAGTGGTATTTCATGTTCCTTATTCGTAATGTCTTCCTTATTCTGGGTGAAAATCAGATCTAATAGGATTGGTGTATCCCCTCCGCTTTCCCTTGTGTCTTCCTTCTTATGTTGTCTTAGGAAATTCCTAACAAGTGAAGGAAATTGTCTAGCTTGGGAAATGTGTGTGTATTTATTTAGCATTTGTATCTGCTGAATCGAGCGATTAGCTCTTGGACCCAGCCTTTCTAGCCAATTTATTTTTCTTCTTTTATGTCTACTACATATATTTCTCTTACACACGCACACATACATCCCCAGGAAGCAGCAGTTTAACTCCCAGGTACCTATTTACTGCTAGGTGAACAAAAGCACCAGGGTGAAAGAAACTCTGCCCAATTGTTTCTGCCTCTGCCGGGGATCGAACCCGGGCCCTTAGGACTACGACCCCAGTTTACTGTCCACTCAACTGCAAGGCCTTCACTGGTTCTAGTAATAGTGTTGCTGATTTGTGGAACAAATTTCCACATAACATAATAATAGTAGGATCCCTTGATTGTTTCAAGCGTAGGTTAGACATATAGGAGAGTGAGATTGGGTGGAAATAATTAGGGGCTGCATCGTATGGGCCAAAAGGCCTTCTGCAGTTTCCTTGATTCTTATGTTCTTATGTCCATAGTGACTTAGAGTTCTCTAAAGTTCATTTTGTGACTTAGACTTAATTTTGTCAGTTTCAAAGCTACTAAGTGTTTTTTTTTTTTTTTTTTTTTAAATATATACAAGAGTTGTTACATTCTTGTACAGCCACTAGTACGCGCAGCGTTTCGGGCAGGTCCCTGGAATACGATCCCCTGCCGCGAAGAATCGTTTTTTCATCCAAGTACACATTTTACTGTTGCGTTAAACAGAGGCTACAGTTAAGGAATTGCGCCCAGTAAATCCTCCCCGGCCAGGATACGAACCCATGATATAGCGCTCGCGGAACGCCAGGCGAGTGTCTTACCACTACACCACGGAGACTGCCACGGAGACTTGTTGATGTCGATAGTGATGTAGAATTTTGATGTCCATAGTTACCTAGAGTTTTGTTGATGTCCACAGTGATATAGAGTTTTGTTGATGTCCATAGCGATATAGAGTTTTGTCAATGGCTTGACTAACTTAGAGTAGTTGATATTCAGAGATACTTTATAGTTTGTGATATTAATTTGATATAAGAGCTAATAATTTATCAGTCTCCATGGTGTAGTGGTAAGACACTCGCCTGGCGTTCCGCGAGCGCTATATCATGGGTTCGTATCCTGGCCGGGGAGGATTTACTGGGCGCAATTCCTTAACTGTAGCCTCTGTTTAACGCAACAGTAAAATGTGTACTTGGATGAAAAAACGATTCTTCGCGGCAGGGGATCGTATTCTAGGGACCTGCCCGAAACGCTACGCGTACTAGTGGCTGTACAAGAATGTAACAACTCTTGTATATATCTCAAAAAAAAAAATATATTATAAAGTTTATCTAGCTATAGCACAGTTCTTATTCTATCTCCTTGTAACCTGTAAATAGTGTAAATAATAATAATAATAATAATATAATAATTGTTATTTGCAAAAAGGAACAATGGGTTGGTGAGATTACATAAGATTGGTATTTTTACATTCAAGCAAAGCGACTAACACGCATAGCGTTTCGGGCAGGTACTTAATCTAACATATCAGGTAAAGTGAAAAGGAACATTGTTTCAAGGTTTATATATCAACAAATAACTACAGCATAAGTTGACAAAGGTGATTACACTGGTAAGGATATGTCTTAAGTACTAATATTGGGGAAGTGGGTAATACAAAATACAGTGTGAGTTTGAAGCACAATGTAGGAAATTATGAGGATCAAATTAGGTACTTTTTTATTTTACTTTAGAACATGGGATAGGTTGGACAATTTTTTAATTCATCAGGGAGTAAGTTCCAAAGACTGGGGTCCTTTTATTTGCATGGAGTGTTTGCACAGATTTAGTCTGACTCTGGGGATATCAAAGAGATATTGATTTCTTGTGTGGTGCTCATGGGTTCTATTACACTTATGAAGGAAAAATTTCAGATCAAAATTAGAATTTAGGAACAAGGTTTTATACATGTAGATAGCACATGAGAATGTGTAGAGTGAGTGTATGTTTAGCATGTTAAAGGACTTAAACAGAGGGTCTGTGTTGTCTGAAGACAGACAACATTATAGTCTGTTATAGTTCTCATCATGTTATAGTTCTGATAGCAGATTTTTGATGAGTGTTGATGGGCTTGAGGTAATTTGCAGTGGTTGAACCTCATGCACAGATACCGTATGCAAGACAGGGATAGATTAGTGCCTAGTATAATGAGAGGAGAGCAGAATGGTAATAAATAGTAATTCTAGTTTATGTATATAAGTTTTGCTCCTCTTATGTAAACAGTAAACTGATAGTCATTATTGCTTTGAGTTTTCCCTTACCATAGACGAATGAGACAAAGTTCAGTTTGCCGGAAATCTTGCCCCATGCCCATCCTTTGGGCGGTAGTGGACACCATACCCATCCCGTGGGTAGTGGATCTCATACCCATTCTGTGGGTGGTAGTGGATCTCATACCCATTCTGTGGGTGGTAGTGGATCTCATACCCATTCTGTGGGTGGTAGAGGATCTCATACCCATTCTGTGGGTGGTAGTGGATCTCATACCCATTCTGTGGGTGGTAGTGGATCTCATACCCATTCTGTGGGTGGTAGTGGATCTCATACCCATTCTGTGGGTGGTAGTGGATCTCATACCTATTCTGTGGGTGGTAGTGGATCTCATACCCATTCTGTGGGTGGTAGTGGATCTCATACCCATTCTGTGGGTGGTAGTGGATCTCATACCCATTCTGTGGGTG